GGGAGGGGATGGATGGATGGATGGAGGGGATGGATGGATGGATGGATGGATGGATGGATGGACGGAGGGAGGGGATGGATGGATGGAGGGAGGGAGGGGATGGATGGAGGGAGGGGATGGATGGATGGATGGAGGGAGGGGATGGATGGATGGAGGGAGGGGATGGATGGATGGATGGATGGATGGATGGATGGAGGGGATGGATGGATGGATGGATGGATGGATGGACGGAGGGAGGGGATGGATGGATGGATGGAGGGAGGGGATGGATGGATGAAGGGGATGGATGGATGGAGGGAGGGGATGGATGGATGGATGGATGGATGGGATGGAGGGGATGGATGGATGGAGGGGATGGATGGATGGATGGATGGATGGAAGGGATGGATGGAGGGAGGGAGGGGATGGATGGATGGATGGAGGGAGGGGATGGATGGATGGGATGGATGGAGGGGATGGATGGATGGAGGGGATGGATGGATGGATGGATGGAAGGGATGGATGGAGGGAGGGAGGGGATGGATGGATGGATGGAGGGAGGGGATGGATGGATGGATGGAGGGAGGGGATGGATGGATGGAGGGAGGGGATGGATGGATGGATGGAGGGGATGGATGGATGGATGGATGGATGGAGGGAGGGAGGGAGGGAGGGGATGGAGGGAGGGAGGGGATGGATGGAGGGGATGGATGGATGGATGGAGGGAGGGAGGGGATGGATGGATGGAGAAAGGGGATGGATGGAGGGAGGGGATGGATGGATGGAGGGAGGGGATGGATGGAGGGAGGGGATGGATGGATGGATGGATGGAGGGAGGGGATGGATGGATGGATGAAAGGGATGGATGGATGGAGGGAGGGGATGGATGGATGGATGGATGGAGGGAGGGGATGGATGGATGGGATGGAGGGGATGGATGGATGGAGGGGATGGATGGATGGATGGATGGAAGGGATGGATGGAGGGAGGGAGGGGATGGATGGATGGATGGAGGGAGGGGATGGATGGAGGGGATGGATGGATGGAGGGGATGGATGGATGGATGGAAGGGATGGATGGAGGGAGGGAGGGGATGGATGGATGGATGGAGGGGATGGATGGATGGATGGAGGGAGGGGATGGATGGATGGAGGGAGGGGATGGATGGATGGATGGAGGGGATGGATGGATGGATGGATGGAGGGGATGGATGGATGGATGGAGGGAGGGAGGGAGGGAGGGGATGGATGGATGGATGGATGGATGGATGGAGGGAGGGGATGGATGGAGAGAGAGAGAGAGGGGGGGGAGGGAGGGGGGGGAGAGAGAGAGGGAGGGAGGGAGGGAGGGGGAGAGAGGGAGGGCGGGATGAAACAAGCATGGTGCTGTGTGTACAGGGATTAGACCCGTCCACTCACGCTAGAGTTGTTCCAATAACATACAGTAATTTCTCAAAGAGCAGATGTCTATCATGTTACAGCATATTTTCGGTTTTATTTAGTTTAGTTTAATTAGGATAATAAAAAGCTATTAAAACACCGGTTTTAGAAATTATTTATTAATATGAAACTTTCAAAAGTCATGAGTCACTGAACTATGACGACACACAGACGAAAGTGAGTGAAACCTCACTGTAAAGTGAGGTTTACAGTATAGTATTCTCTTATCTGTCCACCCTCACTCATCTTGTTTCATCACAGAAAATGTCTATAAGGAGATTTTACCACATGTAGCTAGGTAATCTTGCTTCATCCTTTAAATTACAGTAATGTACAAAGATACGTGTGCCCCAAATCAGTGAACGAAAATCATGGAAACTCAGTTGTTCACTTGTGTGGACCATTTTGGCTGGTGTTTGTGTGGACCATTTTGGCTGGTGTTTGTGTGGACCATTTTGGCTGGTGTTTGTGTGGACCATTTTGGCTGGTGTTTGTGTGGACCATTTTGGCTGGTATTTGGTTCATATAGTTCACTTGTGTGATCCAACTTCTTATGAAGGAATTATTAATTGTAATCTGTGATAGAATGAGAAAGTTTTCCACCACTCTGTGAACTCTGTCCCAAAATCGTAAGCTTGTGGACCACTTGTGGTCCACATGTGTGGTCCATTTGTGTGGTCCACTTGTGTGATCCACTTGTGTGATCCAACTTGTCATATGAGAGAATTATTAATTGTAATCTGTTATAGAATGGGAAAGTTTTCCACCAGTCTGTGAACTCTGTCTGGACATCGTAAGCAAATCCGAACATCCCTCGCTTCGGCGAACCATTGTTCGTCGAACCGGGTGAGTAAATTCGGCCTGAAAAGTGTGCGAACTAGCCGGAGATTCGTTGAATCGGGGTACGTTGAATCGAGGTTGTACTGTAATTACAGTCAGAAGACGACGCCACCACCCTCCCTCCCACAGCATTACTCCTCCCTCCATGGAGCATAGTGCTAAATAACACCACAATCCTGCTATTATCAGAATCCTGGTCAGTTTTATCAGTCAGGGGTCATCTGTAATACTATCATTGCTAAATAATAGTATGAACATATATATATTTTGACATTTTTAGGCGATGCTGTGGTCACAAGCTGAACACCAGTGCTGTGCGCTCATGGTACGTGTGTCGGCCTTGGTGGCTTGCTCAATACTGAAGCTCTCACACCCAGGAATGTTGGTCACGATTTTTTTTCTAGGTGGCGTCTGTCAACTATCGGTCATGGCTGCACTATAGCTGCCCCTATCCCACGCATGGCGTTTAAATTAACCCTTTAACTGCGCGGCCTATAAATATGACATCCCCCCAGTGCGCAGGAAATGAAACCTCGGGAAAAAATTCTTTTTTTCTTCTGAAAGTGTCAAAAACCCCTCCCTGTATATGGGTATAGCAACGGAAGTTCGAAATTGTACTTACTTTGGCTGCTATGGGGTTCAAAAGGTGGGGCGTGACGTCATCATTCCCCGTGCGCCAGAACAGTATGCTCTCGGGGCCGTTAGGGCGCGCGAGTTGCCGCGAATATGACGTCCCCCCAGTGCGCAGGAAATGAAACCTCGGGAAAAAATTCTTTTTTCTTCTGAAAGTGTCAAAAACCCCTCCCTGTATTTGGGTATAGCAATGGAAGTTCGAAATTGTACTTACTTTGGCTGCTATGGGGTCCAAAAGGTGGGGCGTGACGTCATCATTCCCCCATGCGCCAGAGCAGTATGCTCTTGGGGCCGGTGGGGTGCCCGGGGCGGGGCGGGGCGCGCGAGTTGCCACGAATATATTTTTGTTCAATTTTTGCGCACAGTTCCAAATACATTTTATTTGTTTTTACGTGCTAATCCTATGTATAATGAACATGTACACTACATTATGGTAGTAAAACATCTGTACTGTCCAAGGACACTGTTACATGCATGACACTTGTGTACACATATCTTGCACATAATTACCATGTATCATGCTAATTTATGTATATATACAATCTATTTACAGACTATACACTGTCACACACTATATACATTCACCATCAACACATTCAGAACAACGCGAGTATGAGCAGCCACACCCAGTCAGCCCTCCCTCACTTCGCCAACATTGCCCCTCCCGTCATACAGTTATTCACACCAATGTTTCATGTTCATTTTTGTATATTTACAACATATGTACACACTATACACTGTCACACACTATACATTTACCATCAACACATTCAGAACATCGCGAGTGTGAGCAGCCACACCCACACAGGCCCTCCCTCACTCCAACATCCTACTCGCCAACATAGCTCCTCCCACCATACTGTCATTGTTTTTATTACACTATTTACACATGTTATATATACTTATCTACATGTTTTATTTACTAGAACTATGCAAGTAAGCCGGTATTGTGTCCAAACAGTACAGTGGCCATCATACACTGCATGAGAAATCACACAGCAGACGACGCTACAATTACGACGTCACATCCCTCGCCAAAATAGCTCGTATGGGCCAATAGCAGCTGCCTCGTATGGGCCAATAGCAGCTGCCTCGTATGGACCAATAACAGCTGCCTCGTATGGGCCAATAGCAGCTGCCTCCTATGGGCTACTAGCAGCTGCCTCGTATGGGCCAATAGCAGCTGCCTCCTATAGGCCAATAGCAGCTGCCTCCTATGGGCCAGTCCTGGTCACTAATTTCTGTAAATGAATAATTGACCACAAGTTTATTTTGAAAAGGAACCTAAGAAGTCGTTTGAAGATTCCTAGATGGACAAAATAATGCTGTGGTGCTGTGGCTAGTGCTGTGAACATCGTGAACAGCATTGAATCACTGATATTTGAACATTGTACCCAGTCATTATCACACTCGGGCTCTTCTATAATACTATTATGGCTAAATAATACAGATTATATATATATTTTGACAATATTAGGCGATGCTGTGGTCACACGGTGAACAGCAGTGCTGTGCGCTCATGCTGCGAGCGCCAGCCTTGGTTGCTCACTCACTACTGAGGCTCTGACACCCGGCAATGTGGACCATGATTTTTTTTAAAAGATGGTGTCTGTTTACAAGAGCCCTGAGGAAGCTGATGTGAACCCCATGTATCCGCGGGAGTTTTGAATGGAACGTGAAAAAATAAAAACACCTGGAGGCGCGTTGCGCACCTGAAGCCTGGGCCTGCAGGCGCGTTGCGCAGTTAAAGGGTTAAGGCGCTAGACTCTAAAACAGCTATTAATGTATTGCGCGGTTTCGGTTTTGTTACTGAAATCATCTATGTATGTATTGCGCGGTTTAAGGGGTTAAAATATAGCCTAATTAAAAAAAAAATAGTACAACTCTCAGAACGAGATTTCTTGGTTGGCGCAGCACAATGGCTAAAGAAGTTATTCACATAGGTATGCAGAATGACATTAAGGATGATTAGCTTTCATGTTTGTAGTGAGTGTATTCTTGATTGCCTTCTGTATTCTCAAATAATAATAAGTTGAGAGTCACTTTATAAGTTTAAGAAGTGGTAGTATTAAACTATTATTTATGATAAATATTTGTTTTAATTGGCAGTGTTGGTTGGCCCACAGTCTCCGAAAATATGCAGTGTATGATTGGTCCATTGAGCAGAAATGGATGTCTGTGCTTCTTCCTCTACTTTTATTATACAATGGTAAGTAAACTCTTTGTTGAAAATTATGTTTGAAAGGGAAAATATTTAACCCCTACACGAAGATCCAAGTAAAAACTATGTATTTCTTATAGCTGTAGTGGCCTGGAGAAGATGCATTTTTTTTAAATGAGGCAAGTTGCCAAATAGAAATAACTTTTTTCTGGGAGGAGCCCCTACGGCTCCCCGGAGCTTACCAGGCTTTTATGCTAATGTCAGACTTTGGCATCAGTCATGTGTGCGGAGTTCCTATGGGCTTACCGGGGACCACGAGCCAGAACCTGGCCCTTTCAGAGAGGCAAGGAGAGAAATGGCCTATAGAAACCCCCGTGTGGTTGGAAGCATTCTATGTCTACCATCGACCGGGTTAGGCACCCAGAAAGGTAGGCGTCCCAAAACAAACCCCTATTCTGGTGAAAATTGCAACCAAAAGGCGAACGAGTGGATAGAACTCCCCAAACTAAAATGAGCAAACTAATGACGACATCATTCGTCGTCACGCCGCTGTCTGTGCAGCCCCCCCCCCCTCTCCAGGAGGGGGAAGGGGGAGCCCCAGACCTACCGTGTCGGCGATCCACACCTCAGTTCTTCGACTGATGCTAGCGGCACCGGTTGTGTGCTCCGGCTCCAGTGGTTGTTTCAGCACTGTACCTAGAGTGTGGTGTCTGTCTTCTAGGTGGTGCGTGAGCCGGGAGTGAGTCTCCAGTACTCGGGCTGCATGCGCCTAGGGTTCCCTTCCCTAGGTGCCCTGTAAGTACTGCCCTTGGGGCTTGGGGTTACCTTCCACAAGTTCCTTGGGTCCTGCTTCTGCTAGGCCGTTTGCTGCTCGGTTTTCGGCCGCCCTTTGTGTGATAGGGGGTTCTGTCTCCCTTGTTCGCCTTAGGGTAAGGGGCAGTTTTGCACTGGCGGGGCGCAGGGTACTGTGCAGCTTGTTTTCACCAATCATAGCGGCCGGCTCTGTTCCGCCTGGGTACGCTGTACTCTTGTGGGGTTTTCTTTTTCTTTTTGTTTGTCTACCTGGTGGGGGGCTCTGCCTTTGGTTCTTTCTCCCTTTGTGCCAAGTTTTCTTCCTTCTTTCAGTGGTTCCCCCCTGCTAGGTCCCCGTGAGTGTACACGTCCCGGGCTTTAGCTTTTAAAATGTTGTTTGGTAGCCATGGGCGCCGGTTAGCAGTACCCTGCCTTGGGATTACCTGAGCGCGAGTCCTCTTATAGTAAATGCTCGGGACCCTGGGAAACCCCTAGGGGGAGCGTGGGCCGGATAGATGTGGCCCCGGAGTCCCCCCCCCCCCTCACTTTGTGCGAGTTCGAGGGCTGCTCTGTCACCTTGTCTCAGGGTGACTCCCACGGTTTTGCCTCCATCTGCAGCCTGTGGGGTCGGTGACACCTTCGGCCCGGAGTCCTGCAAGTTTTGTTGCCTGTTCATGACTCGGTTACCCAATCTTATGCTGACTATGTAGGTGCAGGCTGCACAGGCGTTGCACATTGGGTTTTAGTGGCAACGTGCTAGTTGTTTGCTCCCCGGAAGCCCCGAGGCTGCCCCGTTGACGTTGGTGGTCTTGTCGGGTCCCTCCCCCCTCCTTCCTCCCTACATCCGGGTCTTTACCATCTGTGGGCTTGGGGTCGGGGCGGGGCTTCCTTGGTTTTGAGACTCAGTTGGTCTCGGGGACTTCCCCTTCCGGGGTGGCGACGGGGACATTCGAGCCTTTTTCCTCCAGCCGTGTTGTAAGAGTCTGCCAGTGGGCTCCCTTCCTTAGTGCTTTTCACGGCTGCCCTGGTTTTTTCTTGACGCTGGGGCTTTGGGGGACAGCTCGGACCCGGGGTCTGCAGGGTGGGTTCCTGGGGCTGGGGGTGGGGCTGACGTGGGGGGGCCTCGGGCCCCGTTGGTCCCCGCCGGAGGTTTTCTACCCCTATGGGCGGGGCTTGTGGAGTGGGGTTTTTCCTTCCCCCCCCCTCTCCACACGAGTTTTTGGGCGTCAGCCCCTCCCCGGACTTGGTTCCTTGTCCATTATGCCCGTTGCTTCCATCCTGTCGGTGGGTGCTCTTCTACGGTCTTCGCCCCTTTTTTCCGGGACGGGACTTCTCCGTCATGTCCCCCTCTTCTTGGGGTTCTGCATGACTTTTGATCTCGGGTGCGACTGGGTTTTTCTGTGCCTTCGTCCTCTGTGTTTACTTCTATGTGTTCTTGAAGATTCGGGACGGTTTTGCTCCTTCCCATTTTACTGGTATGTCTGTCGTCGTTCGGTGGGGATTCCCTTCTGTCCTTTCTAGGGCTTGTGGGTCCTTTTCCGGTCAGTTTCTGGGTGTTTGGCCTTCTCGTTCATTTGTTCATATCTCTTCTCTTCGCGCTGTGTCTTGGCACTGCTCGTTTTCCTTCTGTTCTGGTCCGGGATGCTAGATTGGGCTACTTGTCGCCATGTGGGGCTCCTGGTGGCCTGCTTGGGTTCCGTTTCGGTTCGTAGATTTCCTTACATGGGCCGGCTCAGTTGGCTTCTGTTAAAATGAATTGACATGTTTCTTCAACGGATCGCACGGGATACGACCCGTTGAGCTGCTTTTCTGCTCTGTTGTTGGACGGAGTAGGATGGACCTGTATAGCGCAACCTATTGGGTTACTTTTCTTTCGTGTCCTGCGCATGCGCCGTGGGAGTTTGTTTTGGTTCAGGGCGGTGTACACATGTTCTGGGGTTCTGTGTCCATATTCTCTCGGGGCTTCGCCTCTCGCTCTTTTCATTCTCCAGTCCGTGCCCCGTTGCTCTTGGGGGTGTACTGGAGTGCCGCTGTAGGGAGGTCACGAGGTTTTCCCTGCGTTTTTGAATGGGGAGAGCCTCCTTCGCCGCTTCCCTCCTCTTCTCTGGCATGGGCGGCTCTGGCCTGCCTTCCGCAGGCGTTAATTTGTGTTCACTGATCATGGGAAAAATAATAAAAAAATCGTGAGTGGCATATATTGCCCGCTATAGGGTGGGGAAGTCCGGCAAAAAACAGGCGCTGACTCGGCGTGCGTCCCAGACGGTCTGTTGCTCGCCAGCTGTCAGGCCAGAGTGGCCACAAAGAGATAATTACCTAATTATTTCAATGTCTCCGATTGATTTTTCGTAGTTTTTTTGCTGTAATATTATTCAATAGTGTGTAGTGTGATATATTTATATAATAAAATGAGTGAATCATCACTGCTAAAAAATATGGTGTGCATATTGTTGATTCAATTATGTTCATCAAACAGTGGACAAATACTTTGTCGGTTATTACACTATATACACAGGTTATATATAAATATCTGCAGGTTCTCCTCCCGCCATACTGTTTTTGCTTTTATTCACTATATACAGACGTTATATATATAAGTATCTACATTCGTGTTCACCATAACGAACCACTAAGTTGGCATGCTGAGTGGCAGTGGCAGTGGCAGCCCGCCACTGGCTGCTACTTCCTTCCTCCCTCAAGTCACCTGACTCAACCACATTCTCCTCCCACAATACTGTTTTTGCTTTTATTCAGTATATACAGACGTTATATATATGTATCTACATTCGTGTTCACCATAACGAACCACTAAGTTGGTATGCTGAGTGGCAGTGGCAGTGGCAGCCAGTGGCGGGCTGCGCACCTTGTCCACTGACGTGGACAAGGTGCGCTGTGACGTCATCAGGGGCTGGTCGCTGGTGTGTGAAGCTCCCAGACACGGTTGCGCAGGTCATTCAAGCACCGCATGTTGCCACAAATATATTTTCAAATATTTTTTCTATGTATTTACAATGCAGTTTTATTTGTTTCCTTTATTGTATATGATGCACATTTGTGACCTTTACAATATGTATACAGTAGAATGTTCATAATTTTCCATGGAACTATGATACATGTGTCAGTAATGCGTCCACAATAAATGTTTATTGTCACAATATTACATGATAAAAATTCACTAAAATTACAATATGTACAGTTTCACATACTATTTACACAGTAACACACTGTATTACACACTCAGTACTTTGGAGATGCGTAATAATCAACAAAGTAGTCCATGGTACACAGCACGACTTTGCTCTCCTTGCACCAGCTACAGATAGATTTTCGCTTCCTGTTTCATCGTTGTGTGTGCTTGCAAATAACGCACTCGCATGCACCCTTGGCTTTAGTATTTGTAGGTGGTATGTAGCCAAGCTTGTAAAGCATAAGGTAGTATTGAAACGATTATAGGAAAAGCTCAATTTGTAAGGTAGGCTTGAAAAGATCGCTTTGTAAGGTCCCACACAGGAAGAGATTCAGCTAGCCTCAAAGAGTGTCCGTCAGTCAGGAAGAGATTCAGGTATTCTTTAAAATATCTATGGAAAACACCACCATGGAAGCCGCTAACACTGTTCATCTATGCTACTCGTATCAGATGCATCATCACTGAATGCAGAAAACGATTTATCTATGTATCATCTATATAAATTGGAGATGGCAAGGGTGGGGCTCAGAGCTACAACTGGATACGCTTGCTGTATCATGCTCATAGGTGCTGTATCACTTGCTTCCGACCGTTGTGTTAAGTCCTTATTGTGCCTAACTTCACCAATATTATGACCCTTATGTTCTTCAAACAATAAGGTCTGAATTTCACAGACTGAACGCAATCTTTCAACACCGGTCGGTCGGCTGAGCGAACAGCACGCGGGACTTGTGATCCTGTGGTCCTGGGTTCGATCCCAGGCGCCGGTGAGAAACAATGGGCAGAGTTTCTTTCACCCTATGCCCCTGTTACCTAGCAGTAAATAGGTACCTGGGTGTTATCTTGAGGTTATCTTGAGATGATTTCGGGGCTTTTAGTGTCCCCGCGGCCCGGTCCTCGACCAGGCCTCCACCCCCAGGAAGCAGCCCGTGACAGCTGACTAACAGCCGTTAGTCATCTGTCACGGGCTGCTTCCTGGGGGTGGAGGCCTGGTCGAGGACCGGGCAGCGGGGACACTAAAGCCCCGAAATCATCTCAAGATAACCTCAAGATAACCGTGTCGGACAGGTGC